GGACGAGCGTGAGAGAGTGAGGGAGGAGCACCCCGATCACACCGACTCCGAATAAATCAGGTGTTTTCTATCCTTAAAACTTTGTGCTAATTTCGTTGAGGGCAACGGAAATTTTAAGTTTGGGGGTGAGAAACATGTTTTTGTGCTTATTTGTTTTAGTTTGCATGCATTAGGTCTTATTCGTTTTTATTGTTTTTCTCGTTTTTTTCGGAATAAAAAAAAAAAAAAAAAAAAAAAAAAAAAAAAAAAAAAAAAAAAATTGCTTGAGTCGAATGCATCGATGATTTATGATGATGGGAGATGGTCAATGTTTGATGATGAAATTGCTTGCTTTATGTGATAAGGAATGAGTATTTGTTTAGCTTTCGATTCAACGGAACGTAGAAGTGAATTATTGCTAGTAATCACACCTTATGCATTGCTTTGGTTGAATGTTTTGCATTTTAAATTTGGAATTTATTTGTGCTCAATCATGCTTTGTTCGGTTTTAAATCCCACCTTAAGACATTTATGATACGAAGTGTTGGGTAGTAAGCGATTTGCGATGTGATTTGGGCCATCTTTGAACCGTTTGAGCCTTTCAAGCCTACCTTTAAATTTTTATCCTTAGAACCTTGATTTGAGCCTCGGTGAGAAAAGGTGTTCTTTCTTTAAGCCAATATGTGGAAGGTAGAAAAGTGGAGATTTTTGAATAATTATCTCTTGGAGTCGGTAGAAATGTTTTATAAGATCTTTCTTCTTCGAAAAAAAAAAAAAAAAAAAAAAAAAAAAAAAAAAAAAAAAATAGATATATATGCGCATCTTCATATATATCTATATATCTAAATTCTTCGATTAAAAAAAAAAAAAAAAAAAAAAAAAAAAAAGAAAAAAAAGAAGAAGAAGAATAGATTAGAAGGGAGAAATAAGGACTAGTTGTTGAATTGTGTTGAAAACTCGATCCATTGCCTCAAGGGAAAAAGTGTTGACGTGTGAATTTTGGAGAATCGAGTTTATTAAAGTCCCTAGAGGTGAATTTATTGTTTCAAACGCCTAGCTTTCAAATTTTGGCGTAATCACCTCAATTCAAGAAAATTAGCCACACATTCCCATATTACCTACCTCGGACCAAAGAGCCTAACAATTGAAAGCCACAAAGCCCCAATGATCCCAATAGCTTATTGTTCATATTAGTTGAGTAAAATAATTTGGTGAGTATTTGGAGTCAAATATATGCATGTAAGTATAAATTCTGTCTATCTTTAACTTGCAAATATTGGATACTTGAAGCAATTGTATGATTTGTGATTGTTGGTAATGGTGAGTGACTAAGTACCGTTGAATGTTAAACTTGCGAATACCTAGGAATTATCATCATAATTGCAAGTTCTGAAAACGCTAAGTTGACCCATCGATCTATGTAATGAGATGTATGGTTTTGTTTTGTGCTATTAATTTGATGTTACTTGAGGACAAGCAAAAGTTCAAGTTTGGGGGTGTGTTAAGTGTATATTTATACACTTAATTGTACCTTTTAATTGGAGCTTTTGATGTGTTTTTACGATAATTGGTGCTTAATTTGGTTATTATTTGTATTTTAGGGACAAATTGAAGAATTGGAAAAGTATGGGGTCAAAACTGCAATTTTGGAGAAAATATGGGCCAAAAGTGAAAAAATCAAAATTCTGAAGATTTAAAGCTCGGACCCCCGTCCCAGTTTTAGTGCAAATCGTGGGACCCCCGTCCGAGACTCCGAAATTGCGCAGAAAAGGGATTTTAATTGCACAAGGAAACTGCCTTCTTCCCCAAGTTCTTCACCCTATATAAGACCAAGTCAGGCACACAATTGGGGGGTCTTTTTTTCGATCTTTTACCTTTTATTTTTATTTGGAGTTTTTATCTTTTCTACACGCAATCGAGGAGCAAGAGAACGAAGACGAAGACTTGACGAATCTTCATCCTAGTTTCCCTTTTCCTTTTCTTTTCTGATTTTTATGAATTTCCGTATTTTTATTATGCTTTTCGTTACAAACATGAGTAGCTAAGTTTTTATTCTAGGATTTTATTGGAACCCTATGTGGTGATTCGAACCTATTTTTCTACTTTTATGCAAGTTTAATTCTTCGATTATTTCTTCGATCTTGATCGTATTTAGTGCATGAGCGTAGCTAACTTATGTTGCTATTTGTTATTGTTAGAATTGATTGACAGATCGTTTTAATAATTAGAACAGGGATAGGAGAGCCTTCGAGTAGTTTTTCACCGAATGCGTGTGTTGATTGCATGTATTATCGTAGACATACAGATAATACCTTAGGTAGCCGTTTACGAGACTTGTTATTTAATGCTTTATTTATACTAGGTTTGCATAGACATATAGTGAATCTTTTATGAATAATAGGTTTATAGCGCAGCGACAGCTGGTTATGAATAATTTCGTGTCTTGGGTTAATAATCGGGAATCGTAACTTGCATGATAGGAGATTAATCGGGTGAAGAATTATCGCATAGGGGGAAGATAAAATCCTAGATCCGTTTTATATTGATATTTTCTCGTGTTTAATTGCTTTCTTAATTAGTTTACTTTATTTAGTTAATTAAATTGACAACCCTGCGTAGGCTGGATAAAAATCATAATTGTTAGGATTTGGTACTTAGGATTAAATAATTTGCGTATTCCCTGTGGGATCGACATCCGACTCTCACGAGTCTACTTTACTACTTGTTTGCGATACGTACACTTGCGTGTTGGTATTTAGCACCCAACAGTCACCCCATCTAACTCCAAAATTCCTCCCGTTTTATTGGCTCCGTTATTTGATCGGTCCGATGCCCGCATGTATTTGTTCCTTGCGATCCGCTCCAAAAGTTCGTAAGCTTCGTCATATGTCAAACTCATGTACATACCGCCAGCTGCTGAATCGAGCATCGTTCTCGAATTATCTTGCAATCCATCATAAAATATTTGAAGTTGCCGCCACTCTTGAAGTCCATGATTCGGGCATCTCCGAATTAATTGTTTGAACTGCTCCCACGTCTCGAATAGCGCTTCACCGGCTTCTTGTATGAAATTTTGTATTTCTCTCCGGATTCTCTCAGTTTTGGTTGGGGAGTTGTACGTATTCATGAAGAGCTGTGCTAGCTGGGACCAAGAAGATATGGAGTTTGGTGCACGAGTTTGTAGCCATTCTCTTGCGGCTCCTTGGAGAGAGTGCTTGAAGAGGCGGAGCTGCAGTGCTTCCGGCGATACTTCGTTCATCTTGTGCGAATCACACGTTTCGAGGAAGTTGACCAAGTGGAGATGTGGATCTTCATGAGCCAATCCGCTGAATAACCCATTGTTTTGGAGCATAGTGAGGAGTCCCGCTCGAATTTCGAAATTGTTGGCTTCAATGGGGGGCTGCTGGATGCTTGATTGAAACCCATTGAGTGTGGGAACGGTGTACTCATGCAATGCTCGTTGACGAGGTGGTGGATTAATTAGCTTCTCTTGCTCATTGACGATTTCCCCCGCCGCATTCGGTAGGCGCCCTTGGTCATCGCCCCTACGATTATTTTCTTCTTCCATTGTCGTATATAAAGTACCTAAAACAAGTAAAATAATAAAATAAAATAAATAAAATGGCTGAAGTAAGAAAAATTGCTCAAATTAAATATTAGGATAAAAATAGATAATTTAGCCGTATTCCCCGGCAACGGCGCCAAAAACTTGTTGGGTGCTAAATACCTAACACGCAAGTGCACGTATCGCAAACAAGTAGTAAAAGTGGACTCGTGAGAGTCGGATGTCAATCCCACAGGGAATACACAAATTATCTAATCCTAAGTACCAAATTCTAACAATTATGATTTTTATCCAGCCTACGCAAAGTTGTCAAATTTAATCAACTAAATAATTAAACTAATTATGAAAGCAAATAGACACGAGAAAATATCAATAAAAACGGATCTAGGATTTTATCTTCCCCCTATGCAAGAATTGCTCACCCAAAACCCCTCAATTATGAAATATATGATTCATGATTATTAACCCGAGACACTAATTTACCCATAACCCGCTGTCGCGTGTATTATGAGTCTATTATTCATAAACGGTTCACTATATGTCTATGCAAACAAATTATGAATAAAGCATTAACTAACAAGTCTCGTAAATGGCTACCTAAGGTGATATCTGTATGTCTACGACACCACATGCAATTGACACACTCATCCGGTGAAAACTACTCGAATGTTCTTATACTTACCGTCTAATTATCAAAATAGCTCTGTCGAGTCAATCCCAATAATCACAGATAAAGCACATAAATTGATCAAGTTCATGCACTAACAATCATAACAAGTATAGGAAATAATCATAAAATCATAATTGCATAATCTCAAGAAAACGGGTTCACAATCCCCACATAGGGTTCCAACAAAATCCTAGATAAAAAACTTAGCTACTCATGACGAAAAACATAATAAAAGTCATAGATTAAGAAAAAATAAGTGAAAGAAGAATTATGATGAAGAGTTGTCAATTCTCCATCTTCGATTCTTCGTTCTCTCGCTCCTCTCGCTCCAAGGTTGTGTCCAAAGTTGTCTAATTCGTGCTTGGTTTGGGCTTAAATAGATGTCCCAACTTGGTAGATGATTTTAGGTTTCCTTGTGTGATTAAAAGTCCAAAATTGTCTCCAGCGTGTGTTGGCACGGCCGCGCGAAAATCAGTGCAATTCTCACACGGCCGCGCGAGAATCGCCGAAACCTTCTGCCCAATTTCTGCATTTGGCACGGCCGTCCCATTTTTAGGTGTAAATTTGGGACGGCCGTCCCGTGCCAATTTCTTCAGATTTTTGATTATTTCACTTTTGGCCCATATTTTCTCCAAAATTGCAGTTTTGACCCCAAACTTTTCCAATTCTTCAATTTATACCTAAAATACAATAAATCAACTTTTTAAGCACCAATTATCGTTAAATCACACCAAAAGCTCAAATAAAAAGGTACGGTAAAGTGTAAAAATATATACTTAACAATATACTACCAAAGAACTACAAAAAAAAAAACAAAGACACAAGTCAATGCAACAAAAGGATATACGGTGCTGACCCTTCGCCTTTGGTATCAAAACCCTCGGGTCAAATTCCACATCACACAACCTAGAATCTTCAATCCTCTTCGCCATATTCGCAGTCATCTTGAAACTCTCGCACGTAGGGTTCCATACTATGGGGACGTCGAAAGTGGGAGCCCTCACATAAAAAAAATGGGTCTTCCATTCCCCCAAGGATAACTTCACACTCTTCAGGAATTGGTAGGGAACGCGAGGATGGAAACAAAAGAAAGGCATCTTATTGGGCCGATGTAACGTAAATAACGCCTTAAACAAACTCACAGTAACTGGAAGACCTACTCGAACCACTCTATAGTGAAACGCCTCGAACATCAGAACAACAGTGGGATTGAGCTGACTATAGCCTATCTTGAATTCCTCGCAAACCTTCAACAAGGTCGGATGCGGAGTAATCTGAGATGTACACGTCAAGTACCCCAAAAATACCGTATGAAACCCATCGGGTGGCGAGTACAAACGGTCGCCCTTCTGAGGCAACAACAACTCGACATTACTTGGCGCTCCAGATAAACGACGAATAGAATGCAAATGCTCTTCCGTCAATACACTATCAAAATTAACTAAGTCCAAATTGATTGGCTTATTTTTCTTTTGCCTCCCCGTGTCAATCCCAACGTCACCCGGAGGAATATCATCTTCCTCCTCCTCTTCATCCGTCGGCTCAAGTTCACTACTAGGCACCGCATGATCACTCGCCAAAGGTGCTCGGTTCGAATCATCGCTATCACTCCCAAAATCCACAACTTGACGCCCATAACGACGTCTACTGGAATCCATTTCATCAACAGTAGGGCAAATATTAACATTATTACTCGCTTCTACATCGTCACTCCAAGATTCAATGATTTCTCGCCTCACGGAAATTCGCACATTTACACCATCTTTGACATCAATACACTCCTCGCTGCGCCCAACCCGATCGAACGAACCGCGCCGAAAAAGAGCTACGGACGCGCCCTCACGCTCGCGCGTCCCCTCGGTTGGCGCGCCTTCACGCGCGTTAACCCCCCCCCCCCCCTCTGAAGCGCGCTCACGCGCCATAACACCTCCTAGCGACGCGCGCGCACGCGCGTCCTCAATGGGCAGCACGCGCGCGTCTCCAGCACCACCGCCCTTCATCGATGCGCGCGCATGCGCCTCGTCATTGGGCAGCGCGCGCGCGTCAGCGCTGCCCACCCTACCTGCCAGCACGCGCGCGTCGGGACACGGCCCAATCCCGCGTGCGCGTTCCCCCAAACCTGACGCGCGACCGGCAGCAGCAGGCCCACGTGGCCTGCTTTCTCTCTCCTCCCCTCCTCGGTCCGCGTGCAAGCCGTCGGCTCCACGGCTTTACTCGGCTCCATCTCTGCATTGAAACGCGCGCCCCCACACTGCTTTTGACGCCGGCTACACGGCTCAAGCCGACTCCGGTCTCTGAGCCACTTACTTTGCACCACTTCCCAATAGTCCGTGAACCTACTACCGCAGATCCGATTTTCGCACCGGAGGCTACATGCTTTTCGCGTTCCATACCCACTGTACCAAAAGTTTTCTTGCCCCCTTCAACCGGATCTCGAAGTTTAATTCGTAAAGGTTTCGAATTACCCGGGTTCGACATGAGAAATTTTTTTCCCCAAAGAAGCAATCAAGAAAAAAAAAAAAAATTCTACTCTACCGCTATAGAATAAAAGAAGAGAACACAAAGAAGACCTAAAGTTAAAAGTACATACCCATTTATTACGCAGGAGATGAAGTTTAATTCTTTCCACCACAAAAGGAGTCTATTTATCTGGCCCTGGTATATTATTTAAAACACTTAAATATATACCTCGCTGCCAAATAAATACAATTATCCCTTATTTAAATTAAGGAATTAATTCACCGCCAACGGAAACAATTCAATCAACGCCGCAATTAACTCTCGACACGACCCGGATCCCTCTACACAAGTCCCCGTGAGTTGGGAGGTTTAATGATATACCTAAATGGGCCGGCCCAATGGGCCCTCAAATTTATCTACTAATTAAGCCCACTACACGAAAGCCTAAACACCTTTAAAGTAAGGCTTGGGCCCAACAAAGTAAGCCCAACCCAATCACCGATATATAAATAGACGTTTTACTTATTTGTTAAGGTACGTTTTCATTATTCACCAACAAGCTAGAGTTTGATCCTCTCTACCATCTCCGCAATCCGTATATCTGACTTGAGCGTTGGAGGGGTTTCCGCCGGATCAACCCCGGCGTAGTTCACGTGTGTTCATTTCGCAGGGACCTCAGGATCATCAAGTTGTCAAGCTACTGATCCGCTTTGCTCTCCCAGTTCATTTTCTACACCACCCTAGGGAAGCTATATTTTAGCATCATATATATATATATATATATATATATATATATATATATATATATATATATATATATATATATATGGGCAAATTACCAAAACCCCCTGAGGTAAGCCTAAATAACGAAAATCCTCCCACGTTCTCGTAATTACGAAAACCCCCCTTGACTAACGGCTGACCGAATTTTTTTAACCGAAAACGTGATATGTCTATTATATCTTTCTATTAAATATGTGAAAATAAAAGAAAAAAGCTGAAAATGTGGTGGCGGTCACAGGCGACGGAACGAACGACGCCCCTGCTTTAAAAGAAGCCGATGTGGGACTCTCGATGGGAATCCAAGGCACTGAGGTGGCGAAGGAGAGCTCCGATATCGTGATTTTGGACAACGATTTTTCATCCGTGGCTACAGTTCTGCTTTGGGTAAGATGTGTGTATAATAACATCCAAAAGTTCATTCAGTTTCAACTGACTGTCAATGTAGCTGCGTTGGCTTTAGCTACCGAAAGGCCGAGCAAAGAGCTAATGCAAAGAGCTAATGCCGCTTATATACGAATATTATGTGGAGGAATATTCTGACTCAGGCTCTGTATCAGATAAGCGTTCTTTTGGTTCTGCAGTTCAAGGGGAGGTCAATGTTGGGGGTGGACGAGAAAACGAAGAACACGATTATATTCAATACTTTCGTGATGTGCCAGGTGTTCAACGAGTTCAATTCGAGGAGTCTCGAGAAGAAGAATGTGTTCAAGGGTGTGTTTAGGAATAGGTTGTTTGTTGGGATTATTATGGTGACCGTTGTGCTGCAGGCGGTGATGGTGGAGCTTCTGAAGATGTTTGCCGACACCGTGAGGCTGAGCTTTGCGGAGTGGGGTGTTTGTGTTGCTATTGCGGCGGTGACGTGGCCGATTGGTTGGGTGGTGAAGTTTGTGCCTGTTGGGAAGAAACCGGTTTTCAGTTACTTGAAGCTCTTACGTTGTGGTTCGAAGACGCCTGGATTAGTTGGTGCTGTCGACTGTCAAGGAATGCAGCGGCGGGGGCTGGTCGCCGCCTCTGTTGTGGCGGCTCGGCCTCGTTTGCCGGTGACCGATACTCGGCATCCGCGGTACTACAAACATTGGTGTAGGGAAGTTTCTTTCTGAAGTATACAACCAATTTGTGATGATGGATGAATAATCTTCACAGAATTACAGTTTGAAAAAATTACATTAAAAACGTGGTTTGAACACGACTCAAGGTTTGGTCAACTGTTGACTCCTATTTTTGGACCATCATGGGCCATGGGCCATGGGCCTGGTCTTGGTGGCTCACTTGTGATGATTTATTGCTTTTATAAATTTATTTATTACTTTGTAATTTGTATTGATAATTTGATATTATAAATTTTTTATTTTTTTTATTTATATATTTTAATTGATTTTATTTATTCAGAGGAGTATTCATACGGATTTATGCTTTTAGCTTGAATGATGGTTGTATTTCTCAAATTGTAAAATATTTAATTTTATATATATAAACAATAATTAAATTTTGAAATCACATCCATTAATTTTTTTAATCCAATAAAAATACATTGTACATTCATAATGATTGATTATATTTGGGTTTAATTTAAGAAAAATAAGTATTTTGCAGACACTAATATATTTCATGAAGAGTACATATTTATGACCCCTCATTAAGTAAAATGCTTACAATTACCCCCTAAGGGTAATTTCGTGTACAAGGGCAAAATTGGTATTATCGGAGGAATATTCGGGAGAATCAAAAAGATTCTATCGAGTTTAACACCGTTAGAGCGATTTGTAAGATGTCTGCATACCTCACGGGAGTTTTCGTAATTACGAGAACGTGGGGGGAATTTCCGTTATTCAGACTTACCTCAGGGGGTTTTGGTAATTTGCCCTATATATATATATATATATATACATATATATATATATATATATATATATATATATATATATATATATATATATATATATATATGTGTGTGTGTGTGTGTGTGTGTGTGTGTGTGTGTGTATATCTATGTGTGAGTGTGTGTGTTTGTGTGAAAAAGTGTGTGTGTATGTGTATGTGAGTGTGTGTGTAAAAAAGTGTGTGCGTGTGTTTCAAATGTGTGTGTGTGAAAAATGTGTGAATATTATGTGTAATTGTGAAAGTTGAGATATTAAACTACATCAATTGAGATATTCAACTTCATAAGTTGAATTAAAGATAGAATGGATCCATATGGATCCAATTCGGATCGGTGTAAATTTGATCCATATTAGATCCAGTCATATAGGTTGATTTAGGATCCGGTTCCATTTGGATCCGATTCACATGGATCCGGATCGGATCCGGTCCAAGTTGCAAAATTGCCGCCCCTAGTTTGTGCGCATCTTGGTGAGGTTACAATCAAAATCAAAATGTCATTGGCAGTTAGATGCTACTTTTTATCTGATAAGGAACGTCAAATTGGATTCGTGTTGCAAAATAACTATTTAATTCGGAGAAGAGTTATTAATGGACATGGGTGGAAATATCGAAAGAAATTATGGAAAAATAAGGGTTTTCGACGAACTCAAATCGTAGTTGAGTACGAAACGAACTCTATCTCAAGTGAAACGGCGCAAGGAACAAAACTCATGAGCTTTGCTCATGAATCACGTCCAATTTCAGCAATCCAACGTCGTTTAGACTCCTAAAAGTTCGTTTTTGCTATTTTAGGTAAGTTTTAGAAAATTAATATCAAATCATAGAAAAATCGTATTAGGATTCCGTAAATTGGGTTGTTCCCAAAATTACGAGATCTACTAGAATTAGGATTTAACTCGTTTTTGCCGTTTTTGGTAATTTTTAGTATTTTCTTATTTTAATTAGGGTTTTCAGTTTTTTAGTATAAATAGTTGCCTTAGGACTTTATTTTGGAATAATTTCGAATTTTAATAAAATATTAGAGTTTTCTCTATTTTTCTGGTGGATTCCAGAGTTTTCGGTGAATTCCGAATGTTATTTTGTTCTATAGGATTAATTCGTAGAAATTAATTCTTTACCGTGCTTCCGTCCTGCGTCATTATCACTTACATCGGGTGAGTGTTAACCGTAGAGGGTAAACTGCATAAAACCCCCTGTGTTATGGAAAACCTGCACCAAATCCCCCTTGTGTTAATTTTATTGCATAGAATCCCCTTGTGTTTTATTTTATCTTGCATGAAATCCCCCATTCCGTTAACAATTAACACCGTTAACTATTTAGGGGATTCCATGCAGTTTTTCATAACACAAGGGGGTTTGGTGCATGTTATTTATAATACAAGTGGAATTTATGTAAAATTTATTTATTCATTTAAATGTTGAATTATTTTTTTGAAATTAAGTCAAATACATTTATTCAATTTTTGAAAGTCGAATTTTCAAAATTATTAATATAATTATTTATATCAAAACTATATTCAAATTTTCATATTATTTATATTCTTTGACATATAATACATCTAAGATAAATTATACAAATATATAACAATATTGATTTTATAAGTATATAATTTTGATTTTTTTAAAATATATTGATAAAATATTTTTTTATTCAAAATTGGAAATTTCCAAAACTTTTTATTTAGTTTCGATTTTGATGCAATTGTTTTTTTTAAGAGAAATCGAGTCAAATTTTGGAAATCCAAATGAGAAAAACAATGTTCTAAAATTTAAAAAATTGAATTGGAAACGGCAAAATTCCAAAAAAAAAAAAGAAAAATTTGTTAGAAATTTCATCCTTATCATTAGTCTTTAATTATTTATGTTGCAATTGAATATATGTGTTTGATTTAATTTAAAAAAATAATAAGAATTTTAAATAAATAAAATATTTTTGCATAAATCCCCCATATATTGAAGAAAATATGTTCCAAACCCCCTTGTGTTATGAAAAACTTGCATGAAACCCCCTAAATAGTTAACGGTGTTAATTGTTAACGGAATGGGGGATTTCATGCAAGGTAAAATAAAACACAGGGGATTCTACGCAATAAAGTTGACACAGGGGGGTTTGGTGCATGTTTTCATAACACAGGGGGGTTTTATGCAGTTTACCCTAACCGTAGATGTATGTGGTTAAATAACCTCCGAATAAGTACACATACACATCTGCATATAATCACACATGGTTATGTGATTATATGCAAATCTACTGTTCAAACGCACCTAACATAAAGAATCAAGTGTCCAAACCAGTAAAATTGTGCTGCAACTTGAGTTTGTTGGATCTATAAACAAGAAAATGGAACTTGTGC